AATAATACATTATTAAAAAAAAAATAATCAAAATTGACAAGTGGCAGGAGAGTCCTGGTGAATAATCGATTTTCCATATGAAACCGACTTTCTTTCTCTCTCTTGCTTTTTTTTTTTTAATTTTTAAATACTTAGATACCATGTAAGATTCTCCATTAGGAGTGTTCTAAGATTCACGTAAAGATCTTTTAAGAAAGTTAAGTCAGCGTCGAAGTCAAACCCGGAGAGTATGATCAAAACATTAGGGTTTTGATGCATACACTGCTGCTCCTTTTTGCATGTACCTACATGTGAACAATATCATTTCCAATATTAATTATTTAGACAATTATATAAGGAAAAGTTAGAATCAAATCATTTATGAAACCTTGGATTCCTATATACTATCATTTTTCTAGATGTACTATCGTACTTAATAATTATTTTAGATTTAATTATTGGGTTAATTAGCTGTATATTACTTGTAGAACCTATAATTAGGAAACTAACTAATCTAAAATTATACTATTTAGGTAACTAGGAGAGAGAATAAAAAATATGAAAAAATTGTCCTTACTCGCACTACAAGAAAACAGGTCATGAGTGACTAATTTTTGTGACTGTTTTTTCAGTCACAAAATATTGTGACTCATTTGCGATTGTTATGTGATGCATTTGCGACTACACAACATATAATCGCCAAAGAGTCGCAATTTTACAACTGCATACTACAGTCACCAAAACGTCTTAAAACAGCGACTGATTAATGACTAATATTAGACTGTTTAACGGTAGTCGTAAATCGATCACAAATTTGAGACTACTTTGTGACGCTATTCGTGGTCAGTAAGTTAGTCGCAAATCCGTCACACATTTGCGACCGATTTGATACTATTTCAGATCGTCACAAAAGAGTCGCAAATCAGTGATAAAGGTGATGTCGGCAATCAGAAAGTAGTTAACCACGTGGTAAAAGCTTATGTCGGCAACCTCACCTAACTCCTACCTAACCTCCTAATGTAGTCACAAATGAGTGACAAANNAGTCACAAAACAGTCACAAATCTGTGACTCTTTTTTGGTAGTCGCAAAACAGTCACACGAATTTTGCCTATATAAACAACGAGCAGTCACTTATTTTTTTCAAATCATTCTCATAACACACC